AAATCGAAACCTTCCTTCTCAGGAAAATAAGGGTGGCCAAGTCAAAGTCCTGGGTGCGTTTTGACCCATTTTCAAAGCCATGGAAGAACTGGAGTTCGACCCTAAGGGCCTCGCCACACTATTGTCGAAACGAAAAAAAAGAGAATGCATATTCCCGCAGAGAGGGGCAGGATACATCCATTGCTATGAATAGCAGCATATGCATCTTACGGCTTTCTGCGGAAAGATGCATCCGTTCTCTTTTCGTTTCGACAGTGGTGTGGTGAGGCCCTAAGTGTTGGGGATGGGAACTGAGGAACCCAAAATGGTACTTACCCATTGCTGAGTAGTGCACGGCCAAGTTCGGATACGAACGAAGACCAAAAAGTTCAAAAACCGAAGACCTCGCTCCGTAAATCCAGAAAGATGGATGTGACGTTCAACCTCACGCCCTGTGCTATCTTCGGGTCAGAGCGATAAAAGGAAAGAGAAGATATGTGGAACAGGCCCTGAAAGAACAGCAAAATGTGGGGTGCCAAGGATTTTTGGAAAATTTGAGTGTGGGGACAGACAGAACTGAAATCCCCCGTGTGGTTCCAGTTTTAGTGAGAAATGGCCATAGCCGCGCGGGAAAGAAAGTGCGCGCTGCTTTCAAGCATTCGTTTAATCCAAAAAGTATCTTTGAACTTCCATGTGGTCTACTCGACATTTTTCCGAACGGAAGGGCAGGGGTACACACGTGGGATCTCGTTTCCAAATTAAGTCCCGGCACCGTTCGTTATAGGGCTCAGAATCTGACGTGGACGGCCTCAGCCTGGTCGCTCTTTCCTTGAGTTCGTCCTCGCCACGTGCCCGGTAGTGGAATCCCTTTTCCCGATAACGTTCGGTGCGGCTGCATTCGCTACACAAAGTGTTGGGCCAATGAGGTGCCACCGCCGTCCACGGGATGACAATCAATTCATTAAAAGGCAATGAGTACAGGGGAAAGTGAGTATCAATAATGGCAAAACCAGCGCCTACAAATCCTGAGCACTCTGTTTCGAGAGGAAAATAGTAGCGTCTGCTGATCTTGGCGATGGCTTCTCGCACGTCCCACGCACATACACGTCCTTTCCTCGTTATACGGGAATGGGTGTGGCAGGGATGAAGGAAGTCGACGCCCATTCGGATCGGGGTAATCGGTCCACATGGCATAAGCAAGGCTGATTGCGTATGTCTAATCAATCCGTTGTTCAATCAAAGCAATAACCAGACACCACATTATGCATTATCTTCCATCCACCGTGCAAGCCGATCCCAGGCGTGAGTCTCTGCAATCCGATCCAATCAAGAGGATGATCATCATTCATTCGCGTGAGTAGTTGAGCATGCATCGAAATAATCATATCAGAATCCTAATTCATTCCTGTCATCAGAGCAACAACTCAATCGATGCATACATGTAAGAGATCACTCATGCATAAATCATCAGATACTAAGCAAAGGGGAACAGGACAAGATCACCTGAGCTTGCTGGTCTCTTTAAATTCAACGATACTCGTCCTCACGAGATCCGATTGAATTCAACGAGACGAGCGGGACAGGACCTCAAGAGCTGGTAGGGACGAGGGAGTCGTAAAAACATTTAGACATTCATGACGAAAATACTGAGAGAGAGAGAGAGAGAGAGAGAGAGAGAGAGAGAGAGAGAGAGAGAGAGAGAGAGAGAGAGAGAGAGAGAGAGAGAGAGAGAGAGNGAGAGAGAGAGAGAGAGAGAGAGAGAGAGAGAGAGAAAAAGAGAGAGAGAGAGAGAGAGAGAGAGAGAGAGAGAGAGAGAGAGAGGTAAGGTTGAAGGATGTGGACGGAGCCGTAGCTTGACCGAAGAAGGGGACTAAGGAAAAAGGAGTTACGGGTACACGAAAAAGTATGCGAAACGGAACAGGCAATCCACTGTGGACTTAGCTTCCAATATAAGAGGAGGAACCGAAGATCAAGGTGCTCAAGCCTTCTACTCTTTGAATATGGCCTCAGGCCATGCAACCACTCGTACACATACAACTTCCTTACCCAGGTACTGGTGATCCTGACCGCCATATACCAACCTCCACATCACAGCGATCGTCGCCCCGCCAACTCAGCTTCTACACCGACTTGCCCAAATCCTGCTGTCCGTCGCGGCCACCCGGCGCTCATACTTGCAAAACTACAGTCATCCTGTCAGGACTTTTCGACTCGTTGTACACATCATCTAGCCACGACTTCCCTGAAGATGGCAGATGGGTTGAGAGAGAGTTTTCCGGTTGCGCTTGTGGATTTTATAGTTGCAAAGAGGGAGATAGAAGATGGGAGGGAATGGGGCGGAGGTAGGAGGGGGTTAAGAGAGAGTTCGGGTTAATCGCCCGAGGAAAGCTATATCGATCCCTGCGAGTTCCTTCGCAGCCAATCAGATCATAGCGTGAGGGGAGTATCCTCCTTACTCGATGTCGGCTGATGGCTTGAACACCCTGGGGGGGGATCAATAGGGAGGTCCTATATGGGGATGAAGCTGGGAAGAAGGAGGGCACGAAGAGTAGTGCGCAGCGGGACCAAGATTTAGCCGAAAAGGAGCGGGAGAGAAGCGCGAGGGCATGAAAAACAGTTACAGGTGGAGGAAAGAAGGCGTGAAGAAGAGAGAGGTGAAGATGGCATGGGGAATTGTGGGAAGCGGGGGAAGTTTGCATACATGGCGTCGGCACAGAGACAAAAAGGCACCAAAACGATTATGTTCCGTCCATTCTAGCTCTAAAACTCGTTCAAGATTGAGAAATTTCAAAAACGATATCTGCGCATGGGCCTGGTGCAGGGGGCCCGCCTTCACTTAGGGCGGGATTGGGCCTGCTGCAAGACCCTATGCCCAGGCATAAACCCTCGCAAAAACCGCATTCACTACCAAAAAAAAAAAAAAAAAGAAAAAAAAAAAGAAGTTAAAAACAGTTAAAAAAAACAAAAAAAAAACTGCATTCACTACAGTGACTACATGTTCAGTATGGGCAACTTTATTAGTTTCCCCAAAAATGGCAAAAAACTTGAAAGAAGGCAACCCTAGAACTGCATTCACTACAAAAAAACAAACAAACAAAAAAGTTGATAAAAGTTAAAAAAACTGCAATTCATGACACGTTCAGTATGGGCAACTTTAGCAGCTCCCAAAAAATGGCCAAAAAGGCAACCCTAAGACTGCGTTCAATACCAAAAAAAAATAATAAAAAAAAATTGCTTTCACTACAGCAGCTAATGACTTGCGCAGTTTTGAACCAACGCTAAACTTGCACATTTTCAAACTCACACCATGATTACAGCGCCACTTTGTCTTTTCTTGTCTGTTTCAAACTAAAAGTGTGACACAGCCACAGTTTCCTAAAAAAGGAGACACAAATGCTCCTTGCGAGTTTGCAGGACATACAACACATCGTGGAGTTGTTTGGGTTTTCCTAATGTATTTCTTCTCTCCCACAAACAGAACGGTCCTGGGATTTTCAAAAAGGAAAAAGAAAGAAAAAAAAAGAAAGTATCTCTTCTGATTTGCCAGTGGAATAGGAACTCGTTAGTATTTCTTCTGATTTGCCAGTGGATTAGGAACTGGTTCCCATTTCTATCGTGTTGATGCACAAATTCATCATGGTTGTAATTTTGAATTTTCCACTATTTTTTGAGTTTTTCTGTTTTTGTGAATAAGTTCGAATTTCGAAACAGTAAATTGATGATTTGACTGGTGAATCGCTTAATTGACTGCGTCTGACCTTTTCTGTCCTAACTGTGTCTGACTTGACATCACCCTTTGTTAAGTTTGCTGTATTAAATTAAATGTTTTTGTAACTTTTTTTTAGTTATACAAATTCAATGTATTTATAATTTGAATTAATTTCATTTAAAATTTTAAAATTGATTATTACTTTTCATTTCCGTACAAACATGTTTGCAACTGCGAACATGTGCTTGCTTCCTTTTTCAAACCCAGCTGCAGCGTTTCAGATTATATTAGTGATTATAGTACCATAATATTGATATAAAATTATATATTTCGTTCCATCTTCTAAGCATGAAAATATCTCAAATTACTTCTGACTTTCTTTGTATACTAGCTAAGCGCCCGCGGTGCGGGTGGTGCGGGCCATGCCCGCAGAAAAGGAAAAACGAAACGACAAACTGCTTCCCCAACGAAAAGAAAATGAAAAACGAAATGACAAACTGCTGCCCCGACGAAATAGAAAATAAAAAAAACGAAACAACAAACTACTGCCCCGACGAAAAAGAAGGAAAAACGACCCTGCCCGCCTATCGACGACGGCCGCTTTCGAGATATTCCCTCGCATCTACGCCCGCCGCGTTCCGGCCCTGTGGGTGCGCTCTCTCGTTTTCTGCCGCACTGTGAACAATTCGATACATGCACCACTCTGCACGCCCCCCCGCCCTCGATCGCTTTCATCCGCTGGCCCTCGCCAAAAGTTCAACCCGATTTCGGAGCGCAGCGGACCATCGACCTCCCTCCTCAAGGGATAGGATAAGACGTATTAAAAACTATTAGAAGTTTAAAAAGTTAATAAAAACTATAATTTATATTAAGTACGCGTTTCATGAAAAGTTTATTACACCTAAGCCCAAGGGATTTTACACACATCTCTCTCCCTCCCTCTCTCTCTCTCTTTCTCTCTCTCTCTCTCTCTCTCTCTCTCTCTCTCTCTCTCTCTTGTC